TGAAAGCTGAAAGGTACAATGTAAAATCACCTACTACAATTGAACTAGAATAAAAGATAGACACATGGAACTGGTTCTTCTATCTCGTTCAAGTAGCTTCAGGATTGCATACTCAAATCACACATAAATCGCTTGCAAAATTGCCTTGCTCTTTTGCTCTTAATTTAAGTTTAACTTCTGCTTATGTGCATTACCTGTAAAAGAGAACACCACTGACATTTAATAAGTTAGTAATCAGAGTTTGACTGGGATTCAATTGCTACTCTTCTATCGTAGAAGAGTTCATGGTGATCTCAAACTCTAACACTATCTTCATCCCAAACTGTGTTCTCTCCATGTAAGGAGTCTTTCTCTCCTTATCCAATATGCAACATTTTCGATCAGATCAGGAGATATTGCTTCTTGATCAGTTAGATTTATCTCCTTCACGTGCATCTCACATGTACAGGTTGATCATGACTGAGCTTCACAAGATGGACCTGGTCCATGTCTGAGTTCTTTTGTCAATCTTCAAAACTTCACCTGCTCTTGGGCCAACAATTCTGTAGCTATTATTGTCTCTTGTCAAATGTTAAAGTAGGCGTTTGGACATGAATTTCAATTTTTTTTAAAAAATTTGAAATTTCATTAAAATTTGAATTGAAGATGAAGTTGTGTTTGGTTATAATTTTTGCAACATATTTGGATGTCTTTTTTTAAAACATATTGTGCAACTAAAAACTAACAATCTTCTCATTTTCAATTGAAAAACTAGTTCTCAGCAGCTTTTTCAAATTTGAAATGCATTTTCAAGTGAGATTGGAAAAAAATTGTATGAATTGAATAATCAAACACTGTTTTCAAAAAAAAAGTTGAAAAAAAAAGAAATTTTTCTTATGTCCAAACGGGCTCAAATCTATCATGACAGCAAAATGGTCTTTTTACCCCACTTGAATTTCATTTTACGTGTACATTTGTAGAGCTCTAACAAGGGGGAATGACATAGTTACCCACAAAAATAAAACTATTTATCCTTGTCTACTATTTATTTTTCTACCCATAAACTAATTACATTTCCTACCCATAGTAGTTTTTGTGGGGAATTTTTTCTTTATTCTCCAATTCTTTTTTATTTCTATATTTCTTTTCTTTTCTTTTTTCTTTTCTCCTTTTCTTTTTTCTCGTTTTCTTCTTATTTTTTTTCTTTTTTCCTTTTCTAATTTCATTTAACTTCTTCTTTTTATATTTCTTCATAATCTAATTTCATTTACTGTTTTCACTATTTTTTATTATTCTTTTTTTATACTATTACTAAAAAAAAATTAAATTGTGTACCACTTAAATGTAGCTAATACAACGAAAAAATATTAAGTAACATATGATACCATTATAGTATATAGTTATACCAACAGGGTATAAATTGTACGCAAAGAGTTAAAAAAAAATTAATTCAATTATTAAACTGAGATAATATCAGTTGTCAATAAAAATTTCAAAAAATTCTAAAAGGATCTAATTGTAAGAGTATACCGTTACATTATATAGCATACTATAATATATATTTTTTTTTTTGCATTTTCAATTTGCC